AAGGTAATTGTTCTATTTAATAGTCAGGCGCACAGTGAAAGCTGTAAACCTATTTAAGCCGTTTTCACCCATATCAACCACTATCCTAGGTATGCTGTATGGAATCCGGGTTGAAGAAAGTGAGGCTAATATTACAATTCATAATTGTCTGTTTCTTATAGGCATTTTTAACTGACGTGCCCTTAGTACTCAAACAAATGCTAGCTTGGGACTCAATTGGGGACGCGGATTGCGAATCAGGAGCTCTATGCAAGCAAAATTTATTAGTTAGGTGCTGCAACTTAGTTTTATTAATATTCCTTAAAATTACTTAAATCATGTCCATCAGAATCCACTGCATTTATACGTAACTTACAATGTACTAACAGGTCTATGGCTGATGATTAACATTAAAAATTTAAATAGAGACAACGACAAGCAATTTTGTGAACCATGAGGCCTTAATTAAACAGGGATGATTAAAATACTGTCGCTTTCCAGATTGATGCCAAATCTGACGTAAGATACACTAGAATTCAAGACGAGAACTTTCAGTAAAGTGTGAAATGTCCTTATTTCTGTAATAATAGCTTCATTCGTGTTTCTTAATTTCTTGATCTTCTGATGTCAGTCTACTGCTACGTATTATTCAGTGTGCGTAGGGTATCACATAAACGACACATTTACTCAGAATATGGCCCTGCAAATCACCAACGCAGATGATCTGTGTCGACTGATTGGAGGCCTACTCGAGTTAGACGGGTATGGTGTGAAGGACTAGTCACAAATCACGGTTAGTACTTAATGTGGATTACCCTCTCGTCGCATCCGGGTTCTATGGCCGCTTTGATGACCGTATGGCACGAACGACGTTATTGAAGAAATATATTAGTAGGAGTAAGTTCAAAGAACATGGTGCGACCACCACCGTATGGACCAGTCAATGGCATGCAGTTGGCTAATGCAGGTTCGTCGTTTTTGACCCTGACGAAAATCAGTGAGCTGTTTGATATTCAGTGACTCGACTGCTGGGTGATTTGGCTAGGGCTCAGGGACATTTTTAGGCCCTACAAACCATTCCTTTCGAATCATTTCCTCTCTCATTTGTGGTGTGATTTTACGGACATACTATTTCTTTCACCAGTAGCAAAGTTACTGTATTGTATCTTACCTTAGGTTTAGCATTCAGTACAGCATCTATCTGCTCCACCTGTCTCAATATCTGGTACACTAGCATTTCGGTAACCAGAGATTATGCTTTCTCAACAAACTAGCCAGTCAACGTGAGTTGATCGAAGACGAACAGAGAATGTTTAAAACCATATTTGAAGCCTTAACGATGCCGTTTATCTCACTGTCAGTACTTAAGCTGAGGTATGCCTTCCCATAGATGAACAAGGAAATTCGAGTTTCCGAGGCGTTAGAAAGATTTCCAGTACTCATTTTTAACAAAGAGTTATGCACCATTTAAGTGTGAGCACCAAAATATCTGGAATATATGTAAAACACCCACAGCTAGGTCTTGCATTACTCATGAAAGAAAGTCAGAGCACAATGGCCATACCTAACTAAAACGATTTTTTGTGCAGTAAGAAAATGGCTAAATGTAGTTATGGAGTTCGTTGTCCCCTTTTGCATGAAAATTCCGATACACTACATTAATCAGATATGGCTAAATCTGAGAGCTTAACAAACTGTCTCGAAGAGGTCTGCTTTGAGAGCATTGTCGCCAATCAATATCCACATCAAGTTGAGTGTGGACATCCCAATCCACCTGTTACGGAAAGTCGTGTAAAGCTCACACATTCAACCAGTTGAAATGCCAGTGCCTGTTGCTGGTGGTATAACTTAGCTAAGTTTTGCTAACAGAACTGAAAGCTATAACAGCATGATCGCTTTTCCCAAGAGGAGTCAGGTTTGAGAGGTTATCGACTAGGAATTCTTCATTTGTAAATACCCAGTCTAAGCGGAATGGCGTCCAACTGTTTCTCAAACGAGTTGCCGACTTAACATTTTCGAATAACTCCTGATCCTCAAGGACTTTGAAGAACCGAGCATCAGTACAGTTTTCACCTCCAATATAGGTATGTTACGCGAAACTGACTCTAGGAAAATTGAAGTCCCCTAGAATCAGGATATGAGTGAGTCCGAGACGTGCAGAGTGGGATAATCCTTCCAGTACTCCATGTCAGCAGTGGGCTTCCTGTAGATCGCCCCAACTAGACACCTCGAGATGTGAGTCAATCTTACCGAGCACCATACTGATTCATCAAGATTGATAAACTCTTGGTTGTGAATTTGATGTGCCTCCAGGCATGATCGTATATATAAGGCGACTCCACTCCCGATTCTTTTTTTCTGACGTTGCGAATCAAAGACATCCCGAGTATTGCTAGCTCCTGGTCCGTGCACTGAGAAGATATCCAAGTTTTAGATATTCCTATCACATGAGCATTATTAGCTTTGCTACGTTTACATAACTCATCCATTTTATTTGATTAACTCGCGGCTTTCATGTGTTAGTAATTTATACTTTCAATTTGTAACGCGTGAGCTTCTTTCTGTTTGTCTGTATGAGCTTTATGTGAATGGACAGATAGCCTACCTATACAATGTTTTCCTCATTGTTAGCCCCTGTCATTTACACGTTTTTTATGATTAAGACAGTCCACATGTGGAACAGTCAGCTCCGAATTGCCTTTGTGCTTGATCCTGGCGTCATGCATGTGGATTTCAGTCGGCAACCCACGTCTATTGGCACGAAATGCTTCCAGAGTTGAAGCTGCCACATGGGAGGATGGGACAGTCATCTCCATTAATCTGGGGTCTAGTATCTCCGTCCTTCTTGGTCAGTCTCCTCACATGTTGAGTCAGTATGTTTTTGAGCTTCAAGGATTGCTTGGTGAATTTTTATTCCCTAGTGTCAGAGTTCGTTTGAGTAGGGTTCGTGTTTTCCTGTACACCTTGCACAATGATATTTCTTGCGCGAAAAATCTTTTCGCGAGATTCCTTAGGGATATCCTGGATGAGATTGCACTCAGAATATTATATATCAGACAGTATTCTCACGTTTTCATCGGATTTCAGTAATTGACTAGCTAGCAGGACATTCTCTACGTTGGTAGCATTCTTGAGAGTTACACGAAGTAGCCTCGTGTGATTTCGATGCTTAGAGTCCTTTCCCTGAGTGATCCATGTGACCGTCAAAGGCTCTATTTCAGGAAGTTCAAGCTTCTTGCTTACTTCTCTCCAGAGCATACCGTCATTTTTGTCCTTCAAACTGAGGGGAAGGTCAGGGTTATCGTTAAGGTCCATGATTATGAGAGAATCATCATGAACCGTCATTGTTTCCCCAGTTTTTCCGGTGCGTCCGGGTTTAGCGCCTTGTTGTTTGGAGGTGGAAGCGCGTTTTTGATTCCTTGGCTCTTTGATGACAGGATGGAAATTCTTGAGGATGAACTGTGGGTCAAGTCACCAGTTGATTTCCGTGCAATACTTGGGATGTTCCACTTAGATGATGGTGCCTGGTCCTTTTTAACTCTGTTGACGTGGGTCCAATCACCTGCAGAATTTTTATGAACCACCGTTGCATTCAAAGATCCTGTTCTGGGTGGACCCAAGTTTGCTGAGAGAGTCTATTACCGTCGACGTTATGATGGGGCTGAGTTTCAGATTGTCATCACTAGTGCCAATGCATGCTCTATCGACAGCAGAGCTGTCCCTCTTCCTGTTTTCATTGCTCGTCCTTGTTTGTCTACCCATTGTATGACTGTCTTTTTCAAAGTTTGCTGACAATTTATTTCGCAGACCTATCAATAGAACATTGATGTTACTTAGCAAAACTACAGCATCCGTGTTGTGCATGACACATACCCACTTATGATCCGACTTACTGAGTTTCTTGTAAGCAGTTGCTGTGAAATATGTGCACGCTTCATGGAACCAACATTTACTGTTGTCGCACTGCATGCCAGATGTAACAGCGAAACGGCATCCAGGTTTTTCGCATGAATTTTTCACGACTATATTGATGTAAACTGTTCTATAGATGCTAGCAAAAGCCTAATATAGTTAAAAAAAGATACAGTACACTAAAAACGAGCAAAAATGGATAAAAACGGGTTAGGATAAACTGAAACTAATCTTTACGTGGAAAACTGAAAAAATACAAGGAAGACCACAGTTAACTATTTATTTAGGTGAAGCTCAAATAAGGAATCTACCGAACGTATAGTTCAGAATAAATTTCTTAGGTCAGAAATGGTACTTTTTTTGCGTAAGAACGCAGCAAAAGTTTGAGAAATGCAAGCCACGTTAGGACTAAACTTCCCGTTCGAAACGCACAGTCTCAGTCGAAGCCAGTGATGTTAGGGGACTTCAGCGAAGTATTTGGTAGGTTCTTTCACTCAGGGTTTATGGAAAAGCCATTTAGTTTGAGGTAGCAGGTACTACGCAAGTGTGACTAACAAACTCTTTCATGGTCAAAGACAAACTGGTGGCAAACAGGGCGCCACCCGAAATAAACTGGTCAAACGTGGTTTGGCTCAAAGCACCGTAAAACACTAAGGACGTTACCATGTAAATATAGTGGTAAGAATGAGTACAGAGAAGATTGCGACGATATGTCTAGGGCTCAGTGACATTTCAATGGTCCTACAATTGGAACACGCTACATGAACAAAGGTTATAAGCTCCGTAAGTAGACTTTTTCAAGAAGAAACTGCATCTCCACTGCAACACAACCTACGAGGAATAAAAATAGTCAAGAGACTTGATATCTTATTACTAGAAACTGAAAGCGTTTGATATTCTTGCAACAGCCCCAATCACAAGCGTATAAAACAAACAATTGAATAAGCTAAAGTGTACATAAAATTGTCAGGCAAAGTTTGCTTCTATCTAGTCTAAATTATTTAATATTTTAAGCAATTTCGGATTTCCGCAAAAATTCAGTTGCTTGTTTGAATACATATTCGATTTGTGAGGCGCACAGTTGGTTGATAATAGGCGTGTTTGGCTTCATGGATTCCGAGCAGGAAATCAAGCTCTTCGGGAAGTGGAGTGCAGATGATCTGAATGTTCATGATCTCAGCTTAACTGTACGACATTTTTATGACAATGGTTCATGTCCTAGGACTACATTAATATCAAGCGAAAAGGAAACCCAATCGTTCCACATACTGCTGGTCGCTATCAAGTTAAGCGGTTTCGTAAAGCACTATGCCCTTTGGTAGAGCGCATGTGCTGTTCACTTATGATGCATGGTCGTAATAATGGAAAAAAGGTCAAGGCGATGAACATTCTAAAACATACATTCGAAATTATACACTTGCTCTCTGGTGAGGTAAGATTTATACGTGTTTATGCGTCTATTATGATGAGTTTGTCTCGTTCGTATGATCCATACGATTTTAAGAAATTCCTGAAATCTCTAGACTTAGCTATGTTTATTTTAGAACCCAATCCATGTGCTTGTCAATGCCGTGCTTAATAGTGGTGCACGAGAAGATTCAACTCGTATCGGTCGTGGTGGTACTGTCCGACGTCAGGCAGTTGATGTCTCTCCCCTACGAAGAGTAAACCAGGCAATTTATCTTTTGTGTACTGGAGCTCGAGAAGCAGCCTTCAGAAATGTTAAGACCATATCAGAATGCTTAGCTGATGAACTTCTAAATGCCGCTAAAGTATGAATAATATTGATGTTTTCATGCATTATTTTTAGGGCAGTTCGAATTCCTATGCAATCAAAAAGAAGGACGAGTTGGAACGTGTTGCAAAATCTAACCGGTAATATACATCTTCAAATAAAAGATTCGGACTTTTGTTTGTTTCTTTTGCCATTTCTTTCGTCAGTATATTGGAATCCTTTGGGCTTATAGAGCGTGTTGCATGCGGGACCTATATCACCATTTGTTTCAAAATGTTAGAAATACTTGTTTTGCTATTGTTTTTACCTTGTGAAGGAGCATCGATAGTAGACGGTGTAAGAATGTGTTGAAACAATCGTCACTAAAGAGCATAGTCTGTAAAGCAGACGGATACAGCTAGGTTCCTGAACTCTTTGTGAATCCTGTATTTGATATGACCAACCGTGAATTTGTATACTAGTTACCCGATTGTTGTCACTGAACAAGTGCCTTGAGTTATTTAAAGTTAGTCGACTCCCGGCTAATCAACGAGTATATGGGCTCAGAATATCGTTTAAATAATCGTGGTATCGGTCAAAATACTCTCATTTCAATAGAAAACCGACTAACTAAAGGCTTTTGTCTTTTTAAAATTTATCAATTATTCGGTTCTACACTCATGTTTAAAATCCCTTATCAAGCGGAACTGCATTAATTTTAGTTTGCGGATATCATTTAATCCAGAACATATGCTCTCTTTGAGTATTGCGATCCAAGTACTTGGTGATTTCATTTCTAATCGCTAGACGATTTCTAGAATTATCTGTCCGTAATCAAGGAAGTGATGCCCCATTACTTTTGTAAAATAGTTCGAGTAGCAGTCATGAATCTATACAGACCCTATTTGTCACCAAATTTTCTCATTGGTGTCAAAACCTCTATATGTTTGTTCCTACTATCGAAGGTAGTCGGCCTTTGATGTTTCATTGCTTACAAGTTTATCCATTTTTACTGTTGTTTTGCATAAGTTCGCGCAAGAAGACCAAGTCGCACCTTTAGTTTATGATACCAATTTCTTGGTTTTCAACTTGTCACATTGATTTTATAACTTACTAAAGCGCGAGTCAGAGTTTAGAGCTTTTCTGCGTCCGTTGAAGTAGTTATAATTATCGGAATTCGCTCATCGCAGAAGCTCGTTATTGTGTTTAACAGCACTTTCCCGTATATGATGCATAAGCGACTAATTGAATTAACGATTAGTAATTTTATCATCTTTTCTTATGTCTTAAACGTCATTAAAAGGAGCGATTGCAACTTCTAGAAGTAGTGAATATTGTGCGACTTGTCCCATCGTGATCTTCCGATACTGGTACTTGCTTCTCAGCGAGAAAATATATAAAGACCTCTAATTTTTCAAGTATCTAGTACATGAATAAGCTTAAAATTGTATAGAATAAATTAGATTAGTCGTTTAACTGAGTCGACATATGGTTCCTGATTTGTCTCATTTTACAGTACATATGCAACACCCGGTAAATAGGTTAGTGTTATGTCACATGTTCTATAATGACAGCTTCTAAAGAAGCTTATTAGAGTCAAGTTTACCGTTGTGTTTGGCGATCAATTTCTTGTCATCTTGCTTCTTTAGTTTGATTCGTTAGTTAGGCTAAACATATCCACGATTCGTTGGACACACCTTCCAAATTCTAATTAACTTAGTTTGGTTGGCCGACGTCAAAAAACGGTTGCAGGCATTTTCAAGACCGTTGTCTTCTGGATGCACTGACTATAAATGAATCATTTCGGTAAGTGTTCTTTGTTGGTATCTACGTTAAGGTATGCGAACGATCGTTCAGTTTTCTGAATACAAACTGTTGAGAGTAACAATTCCTTGAAACAGTTGATATATTTGTTGTTAGCCTTATTGGTCATGTATCCTCGCAGAACAGTTTTTCCGTTCAAGGTTCTGGATACAGGTCATCTTTCTATTTAAACCGTATATGCTTATTAAGACGATACGAGAACTGGGATGAATACTTTCTAGGTTTAAAGAATGTATAAGTGGCGGGACCATCTTTGATGCGTTTCACTAATGAGTTTGAGATCGAGGCTCCTTGCTTCCTAGGATCTCCTAATAATAAAGTCTTTTTTAATCTACCTCATAATTTTTCCTTCGATGTAACTAAAAAGCATATTACTCAAAGAACTCGCATCGTTTTCATTGACATCACGTTCGAACTAAATCTTACAGCATCGAGAGTGGAGACATTATAGGTGTAAAATATGTTTGAAATAATCATCCAGCAAACTTTTCTAGGATCCTTCAAAGTAATAATCAAAAGTGTCAGGAAAATGTATAATGTTGAACAATCAATTATTTACTGTTTTTATTCAATCATAATAAAATTTTGACTATAGTAAGCAGGATAACATGAACTGGTTATATGCGAATCATGTGAAAATGAATGGATGATTGTTTGTATGTGTAAGTTTGAGCTGTTATTAGGTGTTAATTTGTTTTTCTGTGAAGTAAAAAAGGTGCGATTTGAAAGTTGGAATTGTTTTCGATGTACATGTAAAATGAGGACTATTGAACACGTAATTGTAGTGGTAAAGTATCCCGGACTAATTGGACTGTATTTCTGTCCAACTTGTTCATTTCACATGGACCTTTATTCTGACAGAAAAGGTATAATTTAAAGATGAGAAATCACTTGACGAGGTAGTCAATCTTTAGCTGAAATGGTCTAAATATGCAATAAGTATGACCAACCACCGCCTACCTCGACGAGCAATGTTTTCTGTTACAGGAGCGGCCAAGCCATTACATGGCAACAGTCTATATAGTCACTGACAGCTGAACCTAGCCTTGTTAATAGGTGTAGACTGCCTAGTTTGGGTCCGCATCTATATCGTAACCAGTGGTTAGAGATTTGGAGTGAATGGATCAAAATCGTTTGCAATGACACAAGTTCATCCATTTTATTTTGTGATCCTATATTTTTCCCAGAACTTTCAGCTTAATGATTAAACAAGGAAACGCAATGGTTGATTGCATCTTAGTTTCACTGTAACTTTCGCCAACTATTTATACACTTGAGTGTATACTTTTTCTATTGAAATTTTACTGACGTTTAATTGGCAATCTCCCCTTGAATTAAGGTAAAAAATGACCTGTTTACACTTCACTAAAAACCACTCTCTTCTTAAATTCGTATTCTTGACGGTGTCTTTTTGAACATGTCGTTGACATTACTTGATACATGTATAATCTTGCAAGTATATCACTCACTAGTCTATGTAAATACGATTTATACTTAACGTAATTAACTCACCATTGTTTAGTGGCCTGAACTTTCTTTATGATCTTAATATTTCATATGACTTCGCACAGGTTATTTCTGTTTAATTTGTCAGTATATTTAGTTGTTTTATGAAAATGGTTGACATCGCCACTCCTAACTGATTTGACTAATGTCAAAGGTATTTAAATAATCCACAGGTTTCCTCCAAAATCTCATATCTAATTGAATAACTAATCTGTATTCAATCTATCGTTACTACGTTTACAGATAAAAAAAACTAAACAGTATAATAATTTACAACAACACAATCAATAGGTCCGAACTATTGTAGAATTATAACTAACAGCATTTGAGAAGTGCCCAACAAATCGAAATAGCAGATTTCAAGCAGCTCTCCAGCCAAGTTAACCAATGAAGATCCGATTACTATCGATAACTACTACATGAAAATTAAAATGAAGTTCTAAAGTAGATTTCGAAACATCAAATGTATATGTAGTATGGGAGTTGATGAAGAAAACCCGAGTAGATAAATCAAAACATTAGTCCATGAAGTGACTGGGTGCCGACTTCACTGAGACAGAATTCTACACATTTTAGTTATGACTGAACATGTTGGTTGAAAACATTAAGTCACATGGCTCAAAATAAGTAGCAATGAAACCGACGTACTCATCACGTATTTCCCCCCCTAATGTCAAACCTTGATTTAACTTCTCAATTATTCTTATGTTTTCATTACAGTTTGTGCTGCTACTGAAGAACTTAGCTTTTCTTTTAGTGAAAAGACTTCACATAATGCTAAGCGTGGCTAATTAGGTCGTAATTCAGACAAATTAGATAACTATTTGCCATTACCACAAAATCCAGGACTTCTTATTTAATGACTTACTGTCTTAGATATTGTAGTATCAGTTTATATGTCAAGCCCATATGCTTTATTCTAGTTACTGGCCAAGCCAATTCGCCTATCCATTATGAGTCATATTTTGATCTTGTTAATTATTCCCTTATTAACCTTGACTACCTTGTTATATGAGCGCATGTGTATGTACCCTTCGTATCCTATTCATCATATGTCTGTCGTTCATTTTTGTCTGATTATAAATATTGAGTAGTGCTTGCTTATAGCGAGTTGGCTTCCCAGCCATCTCCACTACGCATTATTTAGCTTCACTCTCGAGTTGGCTTCCCCGCCAATCTCCAACACGCATTATTTTTGCTCCACTCTCGAGTTGGCTTCCCAGCCATCTCCACCAAACTGTAGTTGCTGCTATCCTTTGTCTTCTGATTTTACGCACCGTTAAGATTAAAATTATATCGAAACGAACGATTAACGAATCGCGGCACTACAATATAAGACTGGTGCATTCCGTCCTTGTGTTGGACACCATGCTTTCTGCAGTGGATGATGTCAGTTCAAGATTAGTCTTCGTTACTTCCGTAAAGTAATACTGTTTGGAAACCACATCAATAATTAGATCATCCTTAGTGGTTGGGCGAATGACAGCCTCTGGATAAGAACACAAACGTTCGTTTGGGTGTTAACCAACCCACATGACCTATGATGTACCGAATCTAGTTTACTACTTAGAACGCCGTTTCTCAATAGCCATTCAGTGAGTCAGAAATGTTGAGCCCGTGCAAAAATTGGAGGTAAAGTAAACAAGGTCATTAGTCTTGATAGTTAGGATCTGTCCACATATTTCAATCTAGACATTTTCTGTCTAGTTATGATATAATAGATTGTCACAAATGAGACCGAGATATTCAAAGGAAGATGATATTTTGTCTTCGTATACTGGGTACGAACAATTATTCCTTGAAAATTACGAAAAGGCATGGATTTTAAATACAATCATGATCCCTTGGTAAATTTAAATTAAGCAAGAACAGTATTTACTGAATCAAACGATCTCATTATATCCCATGGTTCCTGTTAATTTGGAAACGTGCTAAATTCACAAAGGAAATATTACTACACAATGTGTTAATACACATCATAATCAGTTAAGTTTATTTCGAAACTACTTAAGAAACAAAAGGAAACAACATATTTAGCACAATAGTTAAGATTGATTAGCGTTTATACATCGAAGGCGGATTCATAAAACGTGAGGCGCTAAATTTGTAAGTGATAGCAAAGAGGAAGTGAATAGAAAAGATTGTTGACAAGTGAGTAATAATCAAGACACCCGTCAGCATAAAATTTATGTCAACGTCTTGAATGAATGTTAGTGGGATTTTTTTCTTCAAGCTAAAAAGATGATGTAAGTGACGCGCTAAAACAATCTATCTTACGATGCCAAGACAGGTGTTCCATACTCCTTTCTGTATGCATAGGTCAGGTGGACAGCGCTTAATAGCAATGGTTCCTGCGAAACGTAGTGAGGATACCACGGATATTCTAGTTTTGCAACTGGCAACCAGTAGTATCTTCTATAATCGTTCGTTCCCAGTCGAATAGAAACCAGAAGTCAGACGAGGAGAGACAGCCTTGTTGCTCAGTGACTCTGTGAAGAAGTGAAAAGCTGAAAAATAACTAGAACTTATGTCAGAAACTGACTAGAAGACCTGAGAATCGTAGATTTTCAAGTGATGTGATGAGAATAATCCCAAACACAATTTAAGTGTACTACAACGCAACCAAAGGGTTTTCGGATCTGTTGCACAAATGTCCGTAGCTTGCTTGACAAGCGATTGTAGCTAGGTGTACAGGGAGACTCCACTGGGTCAAATGTAATTTCCTGAACAGGAACTTGGTCGACCCAGTTCGTAGAAAATAGGGAACTTGATCTTGAAAGTTTCACTCTGATAAGACCAGACAGAACCCAGAAGCGTAGGGCAGTACACCACTTTTTCTACTGTAGCTGTACGAACAAAAACCGTTGATCCCATTGGTTGGTGTCCACTCTGTAGCCTGAAATTTCTTCCAAGTTGGAAGATTTAAATACCACTTTTAGCAGCCTGATTTGATCCTCTTCCAAGTTGAACATCTATCTGGCTACCTAACATATTAACCTTTAGCAATTGCTAAAGGGTCATATTAACGTGACCCCAGAGATATCTTCAGGTATTGTCTCGTGTAATGCACTTTTTACCAACCCGAAGTCATGCTCAAGGAGAGTTCTGAGTACAAAGATTTCGCTTTTCTCTACCGAAGATAACTGACCTGTCGCTAGGATTTACCTTCGATTCCTCAATCATGGTCAAGGAAGTCAATTTATCTTTCACGGTATTAAGGTGTTTCTTACTTTCAGATTGTATTTAGTCAGCAGTTTTCATTAGAGTAGCGACCACACTCTGTTTGAGTGAATTTCGGCGAACGGGATGTTGAAGGTGGTCAGGTGGTGATTTTCGTCACTTCTCCTTACAGAAATAGCCTTACAGCCTATTTCGCTAGTCTCTATCTACTGCTGCCGTTTAAAGGGTTGGACACAGTGGAGTCCTACTTTTCGGAGCTTTTGTTCACTGTAAGGCGTCCTCCAGGTCGGTTTTGCTTCACCTCTCTCGGTCGTACGGCGCACAACCCTATCGCACCACAACTGTGTAAGACATGGGCACGTCAGGTCGACACCCTCATTTCAGCTAACGGCGTTCTGGCTCGACAACATCGAAGCCTGGTTCTGCTATACAGAAGC